CAGGGTCATCTTTTTTCATGGCACAATCTCTCCACAATATAGTTTTTAATGATTCATTAAATGGGAAAAGGTCAATCAATGTTGACAAATAACTACATAACAAGTAGTGAATGGAACAGATGGTCGTTGCTAAAAATAATAAAGTTCACAATACTCCATCCGTAATCCAATATGTGCACTCAAATCTTCTGTCAGAATTTCGAATCATTTCCACATCAGATGCAGTTTTAAGCAATTCACAAATTCTCTCTAATCGTTAGTTAAGACACTCTAGGAAGGAATAGATTGGAGTTGGTTTCTGGTTGAAAGCCATCTCCTTTATTTAACCAACATAATTTTAATAAAGCAATACTACTTTAATTAAAAACAAATGTTCATTTTCTTTAATGGGATGGAAAAGAAATGGAATATTTAAAGCTCTGGACTAGAGTTTCTGTTCAGCAGTTTCCACTGAACAAATCTCCTCATTTATAGATTTGGAGCAGAATTGTTGCAAAATAATAAAACAAAATTGTGCTGTTTTATTTTCTCCTAGCAATTTTCTTCTTTTATCTGTCACTGATCAGGTGAGAGTTGACATCTCAGCACTTTGATCAAGTGGTTATCATACCTTCTATGGCAGCCATCTTGCTGTACTGGGCAGGAAGCAGGAGTAGTTACATTCTTCTCCTTGTTGCAGATCATGAACTATTGTGGAGGTTCTTCCCTGCATCTGCATTTCGAATACAAACCTTCAAGTGGTAGAGACAGGATCAGCACTTGGAATGGGAGGAAAGGATTAGAGCAGTGGAAACTTGAGGAGGCAGAGGGAAAGCTGCCAGTATGAGAGGAATGAATGGTAGAAGAGCTAAAACATGCCAAAATAAACTGACGGCAAGAGATGAAATGGGGTGAAAGCTGTCTGTAGGTATTGGTAGATGAGTAAGAGCTGAACAATGCATGTAGAAACTGAAACAGGGGTCTGAAAACGAAAGGAATACATGAGTGAGGAAAAGAAGTAGGTGAAAATGACTAACTTGAAATGAGGAGCTAAGCAGGAACTAAGGGGCAAAAATTTTAGTAAAGACAAAAGGATGAGCAAAGGGCTCGCATTTTTTGAGGAGACTGGGTGGGAGAGTATCAACAGGAAAAGGTTGAAGAGGGCGTTTCCTGTTAAGTTGGTGGGAGATGGTGAGAGACAGGGTGTGTTCCTGTAAATTCAGGGAAAGTAGGATTGCCTCTGTAAATTGGGCATAAGATGGTTAGAGGGAACAAGGAGCCCCTGTAAAGGGGAAGATTAATTGTTCAGGTAGTTTTAATAGAGCATTTTTGATCTGTTTACTGTGGATTAAATCAAATGTTACTTAGCTTCCTTAGAATTGCTTTTAGATTGAATATCTGCTAAAAGGTTAATGTTTGTTGCTACGTTATTCTGTGGCTTATTATTATACCACCACCTGATATATTCATAAAGGATTTATCCTAGGAATGCTACCAAAGGCTTCCTTTTTAATGTCTAATGAAGATTCAATGATGGCAACAAGGAGACTCACTTTGTCAGAATGTTGTAAATACAGAGGCCAATAAATCCACATTTCAGTTCTGCTGCGTTCTTACCCTTCTGCTCTTACATACGATTGTCAATTGACAATGAACACATGGACTCACATACATTGGTTAATAAATACAAGCGATCAGGATGCACAGGTTCAAAGTTCCAAAGCCGCCTCTTGTCCAAGATGGGAGATTTGGCAAAGGAGCAGTTTGCTCTTTCATGATCCATTCTTGTAATGTTAAAACATCAATAAAAAAGTCAATAATTTTGGTCTGCTGTTAAAATACAGGCATTGTAGAATTACTATAGTAACAATTGCTGCTGCAGTTTAAATAATACAGCCATGAATGGCCACTACGTTAAACTAAGGGAGAATATACGAATATCAGAACATAAGAAGTAGGAGCAGGAGTCAGCCATTCAGTCCTTTGAGCTAGCTCTACAAATTAATAAAATCATGGATGACCTTCTACTTCAAAACCATTTAGTTGCACTATCCATTTATCTTTTGATGTTTTAATGTGTAGAAATCTATTAATATCAGTCTTGGACATACTGAATGACTGAGCCTCCACAACCTCTGAGCAGAGAATTCCAGAGATTCACCAGGCACTGAATGACAAAATGCCTCCTCATCTCAGTCCTAAATTGCCTGCTCCTTAATCTGAGACTCGGTTCCCTGGTTCTTTACCCCCGATCAGGGGAAACATCCTTTCTGCACCCACCCTGTGGTTTCCTGTGAAGAATTTTGTACGTGTGAATGAGATCAACTCTCATTATTCTAAGTTTTCAAGGTAAGTCTGGAGTCTTGCTGGGTGAGGAGAACAGACAGAATGTTGGGGGAGCTAAGGTGGACATGACAGTGGGGAGAACAAATGTAGGGATGGCATGACCTAGTCGGGAAGGAGCTTCTGATGGGCACAGGAGGCCAAGATGTCAAGTTCCCCTCCTCCCCCCCATCCTTTGATCAGACACCAGTTCACCCATTGAAACATATCAGTCTGGACACTTGGCACAGCCTTCCACGCTGTGGGTAAAATTTCACCAGCAGTGGGCACAAAGGATCTTAGTGATGGTGTTAGGAATCAGCTGATACCGAAGTTATCAAGGATCCTGCTATAAGCAACAGGAGTCTTACACATATATGTGAATCTAAGAAAAATCAAACAAGTTCATAGAAGCAAAGTGCTCCAAAAAGCTGACAGTTCAAGAACTGCCCCGAGGCCTTAAGACAGGCAAAAACTGTGCACACAAAAACAGTTACCAACAGCAACAGTGTCAAAAATATTTAGCTACAGTGGCTACCATTTCCACCTTGAAAGAGTCTGATCAGCTCAGAAAGCCTTCCAGATGATCTAACTGATTTCAATTGACGATCTCTATGGGATGGTGATGGGGACTCCATGGTTAACGGGCTATGGAGCTAAGTAAACATTTGGTTGATGTTGTTTGTATCTTTTGTAGAATGTTGCCTATGACAGCCAAACACAAAACTGGTCTGGAGTTTATTTATTTAACATGTTGTCACTTGTACCTAAGTACAGTGGAAAATGGCTAATGTCGCCACGTTTCGGCGCTAAATTGTACTACAGAATAAATTGTATAAATGGTAAAATACTAAATAAATTAATATTAAATTGATATTATTAAAACTGAAACAGCTTCAAGAGTTCATCTTTCCCTCTGTGTTGACTTCACTCTCTCTGCTCCTCCAGTCACTGCCCGGCTCCTGGTGTGCTCCTTTCGTACAACGACCAGCGCCATTGCTTCCGTGTCTGCCACCTCTGAGCTGGAGACAGTCACACTGCGGGTCCCTCACCTCCTCTGATGCTGGACATCCGCTGACAGGGTCCTGGCTCTGAGTTGGCGAATGGGGTCCTGACTCGTCTTCTGACACTGCTACCTGAGATGGAGAGGGGATGGAAAATATACGGGGCCCAGCCTCCCGCAGGAGGACATCAGGATGAGACCCAAGGGCAACCAAAACAACAGAAACGTTACCCAGCTGGAAAGATGATGAGGAAGCCGTGTGCATGAGAAACCGAGCCCCGCGCTCAGGAGCCGAACACTGCCGACTCCACTGCCATGGAGTATGTGTGTGATATTACCATTGGTCACAGCAGTCATTTTAATGTGAAGTCTGTTAGGTATAGTATGTTTGGTGGATAACCTTGAGTTGGGTTTCGTGTTCTTCTGGAGGTCATAGGAAGGCAGCTCCTCCCACACATCTTCCCATTCTTCTTCTATGATCTAAATACCCAGGCCTTTGTTCTAATACCCACATCCCCTCCCCCCACCCCATGTTTTCTGTCTGGTCTTTTGATCTGAAGATAAAAATAGTTCAAAGAATTCCCATGGTAAGTACTTGGTTTGCTGCAAATGAGACATGCAGTTGACAACTAAAGTATCACAAGATGAAAATTATGCAGCACTCAAAATACAGATCAAAAATGCCAAAAGAAATCACAAACCCAACACTTCTTTAGGAAGTAAGTTTCCAAAAATCAGTCTATTAAATTCCTACATATATAGCAAGTAGCAGCAATGGAATAAACAAGTGGAAACAACATTGGTGACTTTGGAATAAAAACAGAAATAGCTAGGGAGTCTAAGCAGCTCTAGTAGTTTCAGGTCCAGTGACCAAAGGTTAACAGATTTCTCTCCACAGATGCTGCCAGACCTGCTGAGTTTCTCCAGTAATTTCTGTTTTTATTTCAGGTTTCCAGCATCTGCAGTTTTTGGTGATTTTGGTATGGGACCAATTTATGCAGCATTGCTTCAAATTAATAAATCAAATGATGATCTTGCACACTGAAAAGGAAAATGTTTTAATGTTTCTGAATTTGATGTACCTCAATGAGCTAGTTCATAGATGAGTCTCATTAAATCAACCACTTTACTGTAGAGATAATCATGGAGCTGCAGAGCAGCAAGGAGAGGGATGGGAGACTTTAGGAGGATGAAGTTGACCCTTTCACCTCAAAACCAGTACTGGGCATCCCTCAAAGCCTCAACCTGGACTGCCTTCACCACGAACTCCAATACTACCTCTAAGAACCCTCTCTCTTGGAGTTCGAGCCATGCTGCAAGCTGCTGCCTGCCCTATGTCACCCTTGAACACTCCAGTGCCTTCAGAGGCCCGCACGTATACTGCTCCACAAACTTCGAATTATGATAATCAGCAATTACTACCAAAATTGGGCCTAAAACCCAAACGTTCAATTCGGCACCACTTAAAGACATAACAGCCATAACCCCCAGTAAAGAATGTTTTTTTTAAGAAAAAGGCATTAGCATCGAACATCTCAAGGGTTGAGGCCTACTATACAATGAATATGAGCTTTTTGGAGCGCAAACAAGAGAATTCGAAATAACAGAGATAGTAGGAACTGCAGATGCTGGAAATAACGTTGTTAATTGGCGCGATTAAAATTCCTGGAGAATTGGTAAGTGCGTTCAAAGTTACCTTCTCCTTTTTCCTTCTCAATGCCAACTTTTGTGAGGCGATTCCCTTTCTAAAGGTCCGCTGCGGATCACTGCCTCTCCCCCTTGATGCGAATTGGCCTTTGAGAATAAACTCAGCAATTTTGGAATTTTTTAAGGTCTCGCCCAGGTAGTTGATGACTTGCTGTACTCCGAGGAGCACGTTCTCGATTCCGTCTATCTTCTTGGTCTGCTCCTTGGAGCTCTGATTCAGCTTTGACAACATGTCAGAAATGTCGACGGGAACATTTGCACTTTTCTGTTCGACTTCTCGGCGGCTGGTGACCTTAGTCGTTTCTTCTTTGTCGGCCGTCAGCATTTCCACCTTCCGCCCAATCTTATCAACGTCTTGAGTGATGCTGTCCAGCTTCTGAACGACTTTCTCCTGGATGCCCAGGAGTTTCTCTACAGTCTGGCTCAACGATTCGAGTTTAATGTCCATCACACCGAGCGCATCCCCGGAGGTGCCGCGAGTGCTCTCAGATAATCTTCTGGAGGGACCCGTTATCACAGGAGGCCCCTGACTCTGCATGGCTTTGGAATCAAACACTTTGGCCAAGGAGTGCACCAACGTGCTCGAGTTCTTCCTCGGCGGTGTGTTCATCGCGGCCTTTGTGACAGATGATGCAGATTCACTACCAAGAGAAGCAGAACAGCCCAAAGACCTTCCAATTAGGTCAATTTTCACCAACAGTAGCCCACAGCAACAACAAAATCCTTTGGGTTCGTGTTATTCTCTGCTTCAGGAGGACTCCCTGTGAGTTTCTGCTGTACAGCCTGTGAAATGTTTGTCCGTGCTTGGGATTGCGGGTTAATAACTGCACCGGAGACTTTCATGTGTTTCTAACCACACAGCAAAACTCTTTGACATTTCAAGTTCCTGCAAATGATTCCAACAGGCGTGCAGACAAATATAGCTGAGGCCATAACCTGACGGGTGACCGCTGACAATCCTTTCTGCTCACTTGCCTTCCTTTCTCCTTTATGTTTTTTAAAGACGCACACAATGACCGCATTTAGCAGTAGCAAACTGACATTGAAATTCCCATTAGCACCCACTACCTCCCCCCCCCCAATTCCAAATGCATTTTATCCTGTGACGTTAGCACTGAAATAAAGAAGGCTATTTGGGTACTTGTGGCATTTGGCAATGCACATCTTGCTTGACATTTGAGATACTTTAAAATGCAAGGCCATTTCCACTCTACCTTTGCTATATGCAAAGCCAGAGTGATGCACAATGTGATTTCTCCTTTTAAAAATCGTATTGTTCAGTTTTCTCTGCAATATTTTGACTTCACCTGTATTCATGTGGGCATTCAATTGTTGTGGTCCTAGTAAAGGCAGAAGAGATACTTGGGCTGCATATAAAATGGCTTTGAATGTCAGACTTATATAGAAACAGAAATGCTCAATTTTAAAATTCTAAATTCTAAATGAACAACCAAATTGTTAGCGTTCCTACCATGCATTTGGCGTGAATATATGTCAACTAAAGGCTTCTTTGTTCAATGGTTTAGAAATTTCTTTCCAGCCTCAATTCTACAGGTCTTTACACAAGGCCCTGGCTGAAACTTCAGAGCAGTACTGAACTAGTACCATGCTGTGGGAATTGCCATCTTTCAGCTGAGATATCAACAGTGCTCTCTTGGGTGGATACATTCGATCTAAGATGGTATTCATAGAATAGTAAGAAATTTTAATTGAAGATCCTGGCCACTATTCTTCAGCCAGCATCATTAAGTCATTGACTATGAAATAATTCAGGACATCCTGAGGTTTTAAAGTTTTTGATATTTGGAGCTTGGGTTGTGAATGAGGGTATAGACATGCTCGCCGAGCCAGTGGATTTGGTTGCAAAGTTTCATCACCCTGCTAGGAAACATCGTCAGTGCACCTCCAGTGAAGCATCGGTCTTCTGTCCCACTTGATATTTATATGCCTCGGTTTGCTGGGGTGGTTGGTGTTACTTCCGGTTTTGTTTCTCAGTGGTTTGCACACAGGGTATACTTCAATGTGTTTGTTAATAGAGCTCTGGTTGGAATACCAGGCATCCAGGAATTCCCTGGCATGTCTCTGTTTGGCTTGTGCGATTATTGATGTGTTGTCCCAGTCGAATTCACAATTAGGAAATTGGATTCCAACGACCCTGAAGAAATTACACAGCTCAGCAGACATCAGCAAGACAGACTACCAAAAAATTGAAGCCAGAGGGATCCAACACACCCCGATTCTACGGACTCCCCAAGATACACAAACCGGAGGTCCCCCTTAGAACCATTGTCTCACTGCCAGGTACACCAACATAGAGACTTGCCAAAGAACTACAACAGAAATTGAAATACTTAGTGGACAACACTACCCTCACCAACCACTCATCCCAAGAATTTCTCAACATCATCAAGGACACCAGGATAGAAGAGGGCGAGATGATGACATCGTTTGACATAACAGCACTGTTTACATACATAAACATCGAACTAGCCAAAGAAACAATTGCCACACTGCTGGACAAATCAAGTAAGCAGGCAACCCAGGACACCAACATCAATAAGGAACCCATTTCACCTTCAACGACAGCATATACAAACAAATCAAAGGTACACCAGTGGGATCCCCAATATCAGGACTGATTGCAGAAGCAGTACTGCAAAGGTTAGAACAGACAGTGTTCCCCACTATACAATCCAAACTTTGGGTCTGATGTGTGGATGACACCTTTGTGATTATTAAACATACAAAATTAGAAGAAACCCACCGACACATACACAACATCCTTACCGGGATAAAATTCATGAAAGAAGAAGAGAATAACAACTGACTACCCTTTCGGGACATAATGGTAGAACGCAAAAACAACAGGGAACTCCAGACTAGCGTGTATAAAAGACCACACTTAAGGACCAGATATTCAATTACACTAGCAACCACCCCAATGCCCACAAACAGAGCTGCATCAGGACACTATTTAAACTAGCTACAACATATTGCAGCAACCCGGAACCACACAAAGCAGAACAGGAGCACTTATACGGAGTCTTCAAAAGAAATGGATATCCAAAAAATACAATCCGTCATTACCTCCGAGACAGACCACAACAGGAAGACATAACACGAACAGACTCACTAATCACCCCACAGTACATCAAAGACATATCAGAAATGACCACAAGACTACTCAGACCACTAGGTATCAGAGTAGCCTACAAACGGACAACCATCCTATGACAGCTACTGACGAACATAAAGGATCCCATAGCCAAAACTGGCAAAACTGGGGTAATATACAAAATACCATGCAAGGACTGTGAGAAACACTACATAGGCCAAACCAGAAGAAAACTGACAATATGGATATACGAGCACCAAGAGACACGACCAATTCTCACTTGTCTCACTACACATGGACAACGAGGAACACGAATTCAATTGGAAGAACATATCCATAATCACACAAGCCAAACAGAGACACACCAAGCAATTCCTGGAGGCCTGGTATTCCAACCAGAACTCCATCAACAAACACATTGAAGTAGACCCTGTAAACAAACCACTGTGAAACAAAACCAGAAGTAATACCAACCACCCCAGTAAACCAAGGCATATAAATAACAAGCGGAAAAGAACACCGACGCTTCCCCGGAGGCGCACTGATGATGTTACCTAGCAGGGTGACAAAATGTTTGCAACCAAATCCACGGGCTCGGCGAGCATGTCTACAACCTCATCCTGAGGTTTGTCCGAAGTGTGGTCTTGGTTGCAATATGGAAAATGTGTCAGCTAATTAGTGCATAGCAAGATCCCACAAACAGTAATGAGACAGACACCCGGATAACACTCCCAATTCTTACTGGGCTGCTTTCCCCTATTGCTTGTGAATCCATAGCAGGATTCTTTGCTTTTAACAATCTAATTAAGCTGACTTTCTACTCCCACTCTCCCTTATGCGAGCCTAATAATTCACCATCTCCCCTCTCCCAAAGTTCTTGCCAGAACTCCTCCTGAATTAATGCTGGAAGCATTGTTCCTCCTACGTTCCTAAATGCTGTCTCCTCTCCTGCCTCGAAATCACCACTCCCAGTTTCCACTTCTTTCCCTCCTCTTGATTTCAGCCTTCTCTCTGTTGTCCTTCATTTAGCTCCCATTTTGTTACCATCAATTTCCTCATTCCTTCTCCCTTTCTTGCTGTCCATTTCCCCATTTCAAAGATATCTCCTCCCCCTCCCTCTGCCCTCAGAGCGGGCTGGAAGTTAGAGTGAGCCATAAAGTTGGGTGTTGTGGCAGCAGTACCACATTTGTTGCCTAGCCAGCTCTGCTGGCATTATCCCAGTGGCAGGGGAAGGCATTGGGAGTCCACCTGCCCTTGGACCCATTAATGACCAGTTAGAGGCCTCCTCCCAGTGCCACTGGTATTTCATGTGGAGGAGAGTGTCCATATAAGAGGGCTAGTCTGGCAGCCTGTCTTGAAGACTGTGAAAGATTGCCCTTGTTTGGTTGTGCTGTGTCTAACAGAAGGCCATGCACAGTAGTCCCCAAACAGTTGCTCCCACCCCACCAACCTCACTGTCTGACTCATACTGGTCCTCCAGCTCCCTCACAAGGTTCAGCATCTTCATCAGGGACTGCCAGTCATTCCAGTAGTGGTAACCACACCAGGTGGCACTGTTGGAACTAGAGAGCTGCTGGCTATTTGATGCTATCTCTTGGGGCAGAGGTCTTGCCCCGAGCCAATGAGTAGGTTAAAGAGCAAGCTGAGGGGAAATTTATTCCTGACCTTTCAGCCAAGAAGGCAAGGCCACCACCTCCACATAAATCTTCAGCCACAGCTTTTGTTCACCTTCCAAATGGATTTACAAGTTTTGCTTAAGCAAAAGCGCTTTATTTATTTATTCTTTCCTCCTCTCACTCAAACCTTCCTGGTTTTCCCCAGTCATAGAATCATAGGTAGCTATTCAGTATGTTTTACTTATATTGCCTGTTTGAAAGAGCTTTCCAGTTAGCCCCTGCTACTTCCCCATTATTTTCTGCCTTCAAGTATTTATGCAATTTTTTTTATTTTTACTATTGAATCTGCTCCTACTGCTTTTTCAGAGTGTTCATTCTTGCTTACAACAACTTGCGGTATAGAATAAAATTATCTCATGTTATGTTTGGTTCTTCTGACAATGACCTTAAATTCATGTTGCTCAGTTACTGATACTTATGCTGCTGGAAATATTACTCATGATTATGAATAACAGCATCAGTGGCTTTATTTTAACATCTTTGTTAATTCCAGCATTAAAATAATGCTATTTGAGAAATCTAACAGACTGTTTCCTTCCCCTTAGTTTCTCACAGTGTATTTTCCTAAAGTTGATGTTGGTGCAATACTGTCCAAAGGGAAGTTTTTGCCTCTTGCAAAACTAGGCTGTATTCTCTAGGCTGTATTTTCTAAGGTCAGTAGCGTCATGACTTATAAACATTCTTCGTTGGCTAGCTACAATTTGGGAATGCAGAAAGCCTCATTCAAAGATCACCCATAGGAGCATGAGTTTTATCCTAGGCTGCAATTCAGAGGAAATTAAATCCGAGCATGAACTCAATGTTGTATAAGATGTATCA